TGATCTCTGTCTGTCAAATAAATAAATAAAATCTTAAAAAAAAAAAAACAAAAACCCACAATGGTGAATGGATGTCTATGCTTACTGAGCTCTCACTGTCTGCCAGGTCCTGTGCTAATATGCTGATATTAAATAAATCAATAGGATACTATCATTGACCACATTTGCAGAAATGACCGAAAGGAGATTTGACCAAACAACAGCAAAAAGTCTGGATTAAGTCCCAGCCCTGCCACTAAACTAGCTATGCAACATTGGGGAGCCACCGGGATTCTGGTTTCTCATTTGCATAAATGAGATAATAACACCTGTCCTACCTTCCTCAGAGCAGGGTGAGGGTCAAACGAAAGGATGAAATGATGTTTCTGACACGTGATAGGTATGCAACAAATGTTTAATAAAGGAGTGATACATATAAATGTGCTTTGCATATTTTATAGCAATACACATATAAAGATATGACTAATATTCTTTTTAAAATATATACCAAAGAGAAACATTAAATTTAGACAAATCAGTTATTCATCTTTGGAAGACTCTAAGCTACCATCCATGAGAACTTCTACCGGCAAGCCTGCCTTCCATGAAAGTGTCTCTGCTGTTATATGCCCATTTTCCTTATCAGGTGTTTCACAAATTTCCTGAAATTTCTGCATCAGATATATTATGATAAACAAGTAAAGCAGTATCTAAGAAATCTTTGATATGTGCTTTTGGAATAAATTATTCAGATTTATTTTAATGGTGCTATTCTAATCTCCAAAAGCATTAAAAGGGTCTTTTTTTTTTAATTAGTAGTTATTTATTCTAGGTCATAGAAAGTGAGGTTCTGCCTTTTGTAAAAGAGATTTTGACCCATGTACCTGTTTCTGGTGCTCGAAGTGACAGAGATGTTTTGGGGCCTTTTCCCCAGTACGTATAAGGAGTGACAGAGAGATTAAAGAAGGCAAAAGGCTCCAGACCTTCCACAGTAAATACAGGTGAAAGCTGTTGTTCACTAGCCAGGAACTAAAATATAAGAAAAAAAAAACACAACACATTATTTTCTTAGTGAGAGAATCATAAAATCCTTTATTCCTAATTAACTAAAATCCCCAAACTCTGGTTCACATGTAAAGTCAAAACCTGCAATTTTGGAAATGCTAATGTTGGTCAGTTCCATGTGGTTCCACACAGACCAGTTAAAATGTATCTAACAAACAAACTGTTACCACTAACCCCAAAATGGTCAGAGACTGGCTATAAACAAGGGCTCTCAGGAAAAATAACCAAATGTATGGGAACAACAAAGGAAATAGACGGGCTTGGCTAAATGGAAGAAGCACAAATCAGCGCAGGCAGGGCTGATGCAAATGGTACAGACTGCTTAAGAACTGGAAGCTACTAGAACCCACACTATACCTTAGATAGAGAACTGAATTCCACACTGTAGAAAATTACACCCCAGTCCACTGCTGGGGGAGCATTCCACAGGATTTGGAAACTTGAAGCATTCCCTTCGATCCTAAATGAAGACTCTTGAACAGAATCTGGGATAACCTTGGGGGTAATGGAAAAGTTGCCTATGGGATGAAAGAAAGAATAGAGGGGAAAAGAATTTAAGATTCTCAATCATCATAGAAAACATGGAAAAATAATGGAAGTTACTAATAATTGGTACCAAAATGAAATTTCCTTTCCTTTAATATATCCTGAAAATTTTCTTTACCTGTTACATGCTGCAAATTTGGTTAAGAGTGAATTGACCAATGGAAACTACTAAAGCCTTTTTCTTTTTAAGACATAATTTTTGGGCACCTAGGTGGCTCGGTTGGTTGAGCAACTGCCTTCGGCTCAGGTCATGATCCCAGAGTCGCAGGATCAAGTCCTGAGTAAGGCTCCCTGCTCCATGGGGAGTCTGCTTCTCCCTCTGACCTTCTCCCCTCTCATGCTCTCTCTCACTGTCTTTTCCTCAAATAAATAAATAAAACTTTTTTAAAAAAAGACATAATTCTTAAGAAAAAAAAATCCCAACCTAAACATTTATTTAATAAAAAATTTAGAGGGGAGTGGGTAAGCAGGAATAAAATCTTGTACCTGGCAGAGGCTTGAGGGAACTCTGAATAATTGTGAACTGATTAAATGGGGCTGGTTCCAAAACCGAAACACTGGCTCTCTGACCTATTTCCTGAGCTGTGATAATCTTAAGGCCATTGATCCAGAAGAGCCGACCACTATAGTACATCAGTGTGTTCTGGGAAATTTCTGAGGTACTCCAGGCTGCAAATTCTGTGATGTTGGTCTCCCCAGAGCTGCGAAGACATGAAACCAATTAGCATGTGTACCTAAAGTGAAGGGAAAAGGCTGGTACATGCCTTACGGGAGAGAATATGTGTTTGTGAGAGTGTGTGTTTGTGTATACAAAAACAAAAAGGAAATACTTTCCAACAATAATCATTGCTATCTTTAGTTCCATAGAAAATTGATTTTTTTGCATTTTTGTTCAAGTATACCTAAAGCAAATTTTCTAGGACTTTTCTCCTTAAAGTGATATTGCAATGGCAAGATGATACACAGGTTTTAACAAATACTTTCAATTCTTGGAAGTATTTGTTAAAATATTAACTGCTCAATATTAACTGCTTTTTCCTCATTGTGCCATGCCTCCTTCCTATAGTTGGTTAGTTGCCTTCCTTATTTGCCATTCATCATTCTAGCATGTTTGGTCCTTCACTTTATACTATTCACAATTGTTCTTCAGTGATACTCATTAAGCTCTTCAGCTTATTCAAAATGCTCCTTTTCAGACTGGGGGATTCAAGTTAACAGACTATTACTTAAACTGATTTTACAGTTTTTTTCTCAATGACAGAATTTTACAATTTTTATTTTAAAAATCTGCTTGATGGTTTCTCAAATTACTCCAGTTGCCTAGTACTCAATAAATAAAAACTATCTCAATGATGTTTAGCCTTTCAATGACGTTTTTTTCTTTTAATGATTTTTCTAAAGCTTTGTAGCATTGACATGCCCTTCTTTAGAAAGTATTGAAGTATGGTGTTTAAAATCAAAATACATACAAATTTTGATCTGTAAATTTCACAATACCTCCCTGACAAAACTGAAACTACCTAAGGGGACCATAGCTGGAAATTGGGAACCTTATAAAGAAGTATATTCACAAGGACTATTCTCATCATCTTTTTTCTAGTAAAATACTCTATTTATACCTACACAGTTATGAAAACAGTATCTGATTCGTTTTTTGGACTTTCACCCACTAGTCTAATTTTACACCTTGTTATTTTTATTTCTCATTAGAACTTTCCAGCAACCTTGTGTAATACATAAAACCAAATTCCAAATGGAAGGAACCTCACCAAGTGGGATGCATGGGGTCTAAAGAGGCCAGCCTTCTCTGGACCACCCACAGAGCTGCTGCAGCCTGTATCCTGTGAACTCATTTGTGTTAGTTTTGCTCACCAGGTTCTTTGTTTCAACATTTCCAAAATAATCCCCAGGACAGATTTCCCTGTCAGGTGAGACTAGATATCCCTCAGTTGCTACCGGCTTAGATTGCCCCTCATATCCAGCTGACGTCTCCTCCCCTGTAAAAATCTCCTGAGCTAACCAGGAAATTCTTGACCTCCAATGTTCACAGCACGACATCAGCAAAACCTCTTCACTTTCAGGAGGTCAGTATGGGGCTTCCTTCCACCTGAAATTTTAAACCCTTCAGTCTTCAGCAATAAGTGAAGCTGGATTTAAATCAAAGCTCAACAGGAAAGTCATAAAAAGACAAATTCTTCCATGATACTATGAAGTTGTGTATGGAGGTCAGCTGAGGCTACTAGGCTGAAGGTTCATTCATTTACTCATCCATGCAACAAATGTTCTGTGCCTAGTTCTGTGTTAGTCACCAAGAATGCAGTGGTAAATAAAACAAATACAATCCCCACCCTCACAGCATGCACAGGCTAGCAGAAAAGGCAGTCTGGTAGAAGATGATTAAACAACAGCCCTGCTGAACAGCACTGTAAGAAGAAAGGTGGAGTGGGTTCCTGAACAAGGAGACCTACTAGGGTCTGGTCAGAAAAAGCGTTTCTTAAAGAACAATGTTTAAACTGAGCCATGCAGACAGAATACCAGTTAACCAAAGGAACTGAGTCTGGGAACATATCAGACAAAGGGAACAGCAAGGGCGTTGGCTCCTTTGGAGTAACGTAATCAGTCCTGACATAACTAAATACATCTGAACTTTTGATAGAGGCACTCTCTTGAACTTCCAAGTCAGATATGTTGTTATACTTGTAACTGATTCATTCTCTTATAAACTGAAGAGAATGGACGGACATAGGAGAGGGAAGAGCAATTTCGAGAGTAGCTCCACTACGGTTGGTGAGTTCAGAATATACTGAGTCGCAGCCAACAGCTCATCTCATCTTTACTACAAGCCAGAGCTGTGACTGCCCAACATACTAGCCACAAACCACATGTGACTACTGAATACTGAATATGATGGAGGAACTGAATTTTTCATGTTATTTAACTTCAATTAATTTAGGTTAAGTTTTAAAACTAATATTTGACTCATATATTATGAATCATATGTTTGATTTATTAGAAAAATTTTAAGTATTTGAAAAACTTGGGCATATAAACCAACTTTTTCAACTGCAAATTTTATAAAATCTCAACACAGATCAAGTATTTCCTATGAAAACTTAATGTATGAGGTGAGATGTGCTGTATATGTAAAATGCACTCTGGATATTCAAGAACTAATATGAATTAATAATTTACCTGTATCTTTTTACTTTTTTCAATGAGTCAACCAGGAAATTTACAGTTACATATGTGGTTCATATTATATTTTTATTAGTGCTGAGCTAAACTAAAGAAAAGGAACTTAAAATGTAGAAGAAGGAATCTAGGCTATATATAAGAAAAAGTTCTTTACTTGTAAGACGTTCTGGAATCCCTCTCTTTCTGTACAACTTTTATTTCCTGATATGATAAAAAAGGCAAGACTTACTTGGAGGGCAAAAGTGCCTATCCATGGCCAAGCACTGCTGCACTTGATTGTGAAGGCATACACAGAAACATTATTAACCTTTAGATGAGGAAATGTATTTTTAAAGGAGAAACCTCCTTTCTCTACCTGTTCAGTGATATCAATTCTCTGGACGCTCAAGGAGCTGGGCTCTCATCAAAAACCAGCTAACCAGCCCTCCAGGATATACAGACACAGAATGAATCATAATCCTTAAGGACACTATCACTTTAAATATATTATCTTAGATTCTTTTGGCAATCAGATTACCAGTACCTTACATTTCCAAGGAAAGGAACAACCAGTTTTCTGTGGCTCACAGGCAGGATAAAAGCCAAAGCTGAATGCCATAGTAGATATGAAAAACTTGGTTACTCAGATTGTTGTGTATTTGCTTATACACACTATATGTTTGTATACATATTCAAATGTGTATATTCCTTTTTCATTGTCTCTATGATTAAGAGTTTTTCCAGTAACCAAAAAAAAATGAATCTTTTAATCTAAAAGTAGTCTTGTCATTGTCTTCATGTAGCAGTAGTTCTTTGCCTTTTTAAGATTAGGCTCCCAAATTGATGAAAAGCATGGATCCTCAAGTTCAGAGTACTCATACACATTCTGAAGCCCTCCAAACTCCCTGGGATCCAAGAACCCAATATTAGAAAACTCTACCCTAGAGCAGGTACATGCAAAAGAATGAAACTGGACCACTTTCTTACACCATACACAAATTCACAGTGGATTAAAGACCTAAATGTGAGACATAAAACCATAAAAATCCTAGAAAAGAGCACAAGCAGTAATTTCTCTGACATTGGCCATAGCAACATTTTTCTAGATATGTCTCCTGAGGTGAGGGAAATAAAAGCAAAAATAAATTATTGGGACTACATCAAAATAAAAAGCTTCTGCACAGTGAAGGAAATAATCAACAAAACTAAAAGACAACCTACTGAATGGGAGAAGATATTTGCAAATATTTATTTACCTAATTAAGGGTTAGTATCCAAAACATAAAAAGCTGATACAACTCAATACCTAAAACACAAATAATCTAGTTAAAAAATAGGCAGAAGACATGAACAGACATTTCTCCAAAGAAGACATACATATGGCCAACAGACACATGAAAAGGTGCTCAACATCACTTACCAGAGACACACAGATCAAAACTACAATGAGATATCACCTCACACTTATCAGAATGGCTAAAATAAAAAACACAAAGTGTTGGCAAGGACATTGGAAAAAAGGAACCCTCAGGCACTGTTAGTGGAAATGCAAACTAGTGCAGCCACTATGGAAAGCATATGGAGTTTCCTCAAAAAATTAAAAATAGAACTACTCTAAGATCCAATAATCGCACTACTGGGTATTTACCCAAAGAATAGAAAAACACTAATTCAAAAGGATATGTGCACCCCTATGTTTACTGCAGCATTATTTACAATAGCCAAATTATGAAAACAGTCCAAGCATCCATCAATAGTTGAATGGATAAAGAAGATACATATATCATGCAATATTATTCAGCCATAAAAGGAATTAAATCTTGCAACAACATGGATAGACCTAGAAAGCATAATGCTAAGCAAAATAAGTCAGTCAGAAAAAGACAAATACCATATAATCTCATTCATATTAAGGAATTTAAGAATTAAAACAAATGAACAAAGGGAAAAAAGAGAAAGTGAGAGAGACAAACCAAGGAACAGACTCCTAATTGTAGAGAACAAACTGATGGTTACCAGACAGAAAGTGTGTGGGGGGATAGGTGACATAGGTGATAGGGATTAAAGAGTATGCTTATCACCATGATAAAATTGTTACATCACTGTATTGCACACCTGAAACTAATATAACATTAATATGTTAACTATACTGGAATTAAAATTAAAAACCTAATAAAAATGAAAAAAAAGAGGGGCGCCTGGGTGGTTCAATGGGTTAAACCTCTACCTTTGGCTCGGGTCATGATCCCAGCAAGCCCCGCATCCAGGTTCTCTGCTCAGCGGGGAGCCTGCTTTCCCCTCTCTCTCTGACTGCCTCTCTGCTTACTTGTGATCTCACTCTGTCAAATAAATGAATAAAATCTTTAAAAAAATGAAAGAAAAGAAAAATAAATAAGAAAAGGTTTAATTCCCATTAAAAAATCTCTGCCCCAAAGCATTATCTTTTGTTTTACTTTAACCCTTTACTGACCATCTATTTATGCAAATTTGCACATCTCTGAGTGTTTTTTCAGCTATGGGAAAAAAA